ATTCCATCATAACATGGCACCGTGCCCTCAAAGTGAGTCCAGTCATTAGATGCATCATTCTGAAATGTGATTATTGACCAAAAGAGAGGAACTTGAGCATCACAGATGGATGAAAAGGGCTTAGAAACAGGTAACAGGATTGGTAACAACTTAGTCATAAGTACGTAAGACACAGCGGCACATCGCTGTGATTGACAAGAACTGCTATTTGCAAGTTGCACTTCCACAAGCACCATCAGCACACTCACCAATCAAGATTAGAAAACGAGCGTTTTTTAAGACTGGCATTTTTTTAATGGCATCAGCCTGATGCCAAGCACAAGTCAGTAAGAAAGCCACTGTCACATACAGCAAAAAGCTGAAGCAAATACGAAGGATGCTGCAACAGTCAACTACTTAAGAGGGAACAGGGTATTACAGTCCGAAAGAGAACTTCCAACAGTGAAGAGCATGATGCATTATACTTCAGGAATAAACACTGAACATGACCAGTCAAGCTCATAATAATTTCTACTTGATTTTTTACTTTTCCTTAATACTTTTTGTATTTAAAGATTGCAATTTCAGTTTGAAACTGCAACTATTCAGAAGCACTGCCTAGCAGCCCCATTATGAGTCAGGTACTCATTTTACTGTACATAAAGGCATGCTGAGAGGAAAGGAAAGAACACCCCACACTTGGGGTACTTTTTGTCTTAATTACTGGAAAAATTAATTTGCCCAAGCGAGTAAATAACAGTGATCTATATCAACCCCACTGATCCTCCTTCTCTTACCCAGTTAATCCAAGTTTGCCAAAAACAATTTTCTAATGATATTATTTTGTGATTTTACAGCTACTTGCATTGATGCTGTGCAAAGGACACAAGCAGTTATTCTTGGTCATGTATTTACAAAACCGTGAATTGAGAATGATTTGAAGAGTTGCTTGTCTGAATTTCTTCTACTAAAGAGGTTCACATGGCACTGCATTGGAATAGTCAGCCTAAATCTAAATTAAGATTAATTAGCCCAAGCAGAACAGCAGATTGACACAGCCGTATTCCTTCCAGATACAAGTGTTTACATCAGGTAAACCAGGTACTTCTGTGTAATATACTCTGTGTCTGACAAACCTTCTGCAACACCAAGCCACATATTTTGTTGCAAAACAGTTATTAAAAAAAAGCCTTCCTAGTTCTTAATTAATGCAATGTTAACTTCGATTGCCCTGTTTCTATGGGTTGATACATATGCAAGATGCACACCTCTGGTATCCCACCCTGAGCCCAGGTGATGCATACTGAACATAAGTTCTGAAACAGGCTTTGAGCATTTCAGATCTTGCTTTTTAACTCGAATTTCAGAATTAATTTTAGATGGGTGAATCATATCATGAAAACAGGAGTCCATTTATTTGTTGGTTTTTAAAAGCCATATAATTCTTAGCCAGCCTCTAATTGCGTTATATTAAATATTCACTAGAAATACACAGAAAATTTACACATTCTTCATCCTAACTATTCTTTTTGTCCTGGAAACAAAATTTGTATTTATTCAGTTAAAATTATTATTGATTTTTTTGTGCCAACTGAAAAACTGCCCCCTGACTTGGCAGCCTTACTCCATCCTTCTCCTGCTGCACCCCACAACACTTCTCCTGACTGTGCCTCTCTCCCCTCCAGTCCTCCATCTGCCTGAATGGCCAGGCTCTGGGACAACGACTGCCTTTGAAGTGTTCACCACACATTTCAGCCAGAGCTGCAAGGCTCTGCTCTCAAACCTAACAGGAAGGTAGAAGAGTTACAAAATTCATATTGGAGGGATTTCATCCTATTCCTCTTCTTTACAGTTACTCAAAGAAAGGAAGAACATGAAGCATGGAAGGAAGCTCTAGAGAAGAATCCAGCCAGGTCAGCCAACCAACCTCCAAGCTTCTCTGAAGAAAGAGGGTGCAAAGGTCAGTTCTATGTTTGCATTTCTAAAATGTTTGTATTTCTAAAGAGCGTAAAGTATCAAATATCCTTCTTGGAGAATAATTCCCCTCCAGTCTCTTACTGAGTTGCTATATAACCATACAATAAATATTATCCTGCTCACATGCTTCTGTTTACTTAGCATACAGTATATTTGATGCTATCTAGCAGCATAAGTTTTAGTTCTGTCATCTTAAAATAGTAATAGTTGTCAATCAAACTAGAAAGTGCATAATAAAAACATTCTAGAAACTAATAACCCTATATTTCTACACTCAACTTGAAGCTGAGCATTTCTTAAAATGAGATTAATTATATGTTTGTACAGTGCCCGATACAATCAGACAGACCTCTAAACAACATCCCCCTAGCACTGAACACAGACTATAATCGTATGGAGAGTGTTTATGTATATTACACAGTATGTGCAGCAGTAACTTAGTAGCATCACCTTCACTTAGCCCAGTATTTTGGTCTGTGAGAGAGTTTTTTTGGGGAGAGGGGAAAAAAAAAAGCCCAGTACTAGAGTATTAGCTGGAGGATGAGAGAAAAGGGCACAGTCAATACCCCAGTAACTTATGGCAATATTTTACAAATATTTGGAGGTATGAAAGCATTGAGGAGAGAGATACTGGAAAAGTCCTCAAAGTTACGACCAACATAACATGGTGAACTGGTGACTTGAAAATAAAAGTGTCAGGAAAATATCCTTTGAATTACACCTGTGAAACTTCTGTGGGAACTTCACTGCTTGGGACTGCTCTGGAATTAGTACTAGTAAATACACTGTAGGGAACAATCCTAAAACATCCAGAAGATGGACTAGATGTAGAACAGGTCTTTTGCTGTTCCATTTTTTATTATTCTAATCCATCACCCTTCCTCAGGTGGTGAAGTTTTATGTAGACTTTAAAAATTATGACCATTAGAAAATTATGCATGTGTCTGTATAATATATACATACATATGGATGTAAGGTCTGGTTTTTAAACACTAAAGCACAGAAAAAAATCTTTGTATTTCATTTGCCCATGCTACAGCTGTAACTGTGCATTAATCTGGCAAGTGCAGATAGAAATTTCTAATTATGGTTATGTGAATGCACTATTTGCATAATCGTAACCACTGAACTTGCAACTTAGGCATGCAATAACTTTAGTATGCTTACTGTTGGCACTGCAGCAGTATAGGACTGTGACATGCTTATGTCACAAAGCAAGGGCAATCTGACAACTTTGTCCGAAACCAGAAATTCAGAAATCCTGCAAGACAGACAAGTTGACACCAAAGGATGCGGAACAGGCTCATGGGAAGAGTCACATGAGGAACTCTAAATAAAGCCTTTCCCATTAGGGATTCTCAAGCAAAAGGTTAAATATGCTAAAGAGTGAACTCTTTTCAGCCTATGGTGTCATTTCTCTCTGAACCCTGCATCCTGTTTTGCAGAGAGGCTACAACTTTTGGTGACTTCCTGAAATCTGAAGTCCACCAAGGATTTTGTGTTGTCAACCTGCTAACAGTACAAGTCAATCAGCACAATGGCTGCAGAAGGCACCTCTATTTCCAAGTCATGGGATGGCAGAACTCTTTATGGATGTGCAAGGTGTGTTAAAGGGGGAGGATGAAGGCTTTGCTTTGTCCATCCATCTTATTGTTATTTCTATTGTTCTGGAATGGAAACCCTCTTATTGACCAAAACGTAAGGCAATCACCCCATATAAGAGACAAGGTAAAAACCACTGTCATTCTTCAGTATAAAAGAAAAACAATGAAATGGTATGGAAGAAGGAAAAAGTGCTTTTAAAAGTGCTTTTAATCTTTTAGACATTAGTAGCCATGATTGGCTTTCCTGTGTAGCCCACTCTGAGTTTGCCATAGTGTTACAGTGAGAAACAGTAGCCTACACTGATTTTTATACATAAATCTTAATGACTCCGATTGCTGCTAAGGATGCAGAATGGTGGCAAGATAAGGCCATTCACCATGAAGGCCTTAAAGCCTTCATAATTACTGAGTATACAGAATATTTATTATAAATACTGTGCCAGGCCTCTTTTGTGAGCTGCCCTGGGCCTGTTCTCTGAGCCACGTCAAGCAAGAAGTTTAAATGAAACTGCTCCCAAGTTTCTGAAATGGTTTAATAAAACATATACTGACTGTAATATTCAGTTTATAGTAGAAAAGTATTGCCCCTTGGTTTGAAAAATGACCTCTAGTTGGCAATTTTACTCTCAGCTTCATAGATTATAGTCCGCTGTTGGTCATTTTCTCAATCCACAGGGCAATACTTTTCCATAACAAGCTCAAACTGCAATCAGTATTTGTAGGCTGTTACACAAGTTGAGGATAATATGTCTCAACACGTCCTATTATATGACTAAACAAAAGAAATAACAACCTGGTGACACAGACATAAGGAGAAAAACAGTGCGATTCTTCTAATTTTCTAATGCTGAGATAGCAGAAAAACATTCTTTTATTGTGCTAATTTATATTAAATTTAATGTCTTCAATATATAATTATCTCTGATTTGATTTTTTCATTGTTTTGTTTTATATTGTTTTACGTCTGTACTTATTCCAACGTAAAACAGCAAATACTAAATTCTATTAGTATCAGATTTCAGAAATGATAGATTGTGACTGATAACTTAACATGGCAAAATCATATTGAAATGTATTCACATAGGTATCTTAAAGATCAGTTGCTCTTGGGCACACAAAGCACGCATTCATAGAAACTTCAGACGTTTTACATAAGGAAATTCCGATATAGTTCAGTAGGCAGGTTGCAACTAATTGTTTCTGCACCCACTTCCAGCACATGAATATGAGATTAAACACAACATTTCGGAAGGTAATTCCCCTATTATGTAATCAAATGGATGCACTGTGTTGAGAATAAGTCAAGGAACGGGAAGTGAGAGACCAGGCATCTATTCCAAGATGTGCCATTGATGGGTCTGTCAGCAGCAGGCCTTAAGAAATGCCCACCCCTCCTTCCTACATCACAGCTACTCTGCTCTGTAGGCTAATGCAACTTACCTAGCTAGCTGGAGTGCAGCAAAGTTTAATTCTTCTATCGATGGATGATGGAAGCTCTTGCAGATTCTTTACTGTAAATGCAAAATATTTATAATTACAGGAGTAATATTCTTCCCCATCTGTAAATAAAACTCTGAAGTTAAATATGACACCCACCCATGCTCAGAGCCAAAGAGAATAACTTCCCAAGCTGCAGCTACAGTGGAGTCAAAAGTGGACATTTTGCCAACATTCATCCAGAAATTAAGAGTTTCAACAACTACATGGCATTTTTCTGGGAATCTGGGTATAGAAAGGAGAACCTCAGCTGTAAGACGACCCAGAAGAGAAGTTCACAGTAGTTCTGTATGTGTTGCTTTAGAAACCATAGACAACTACAGACATCTATCTATAATGCTGCATTTGGTATATTAAAGGAACAGATTTTGCTGCTGTTCTTGAGTTTTGGTGTTTTGTTTTTGTTTTTTTTGCTTTGGGGGCTGTACAGTATTTGTTTGGGTTTGGTTTTTTAGGATAATAAAAGTGACACACATGCCACAGCATAACAGATTAATCAAGGCAGATGATGTTTATCCTAGGTCCTGAGTTGCATATCTTCATAACTCACTCATAAAAATTAATGTATTGTACATGCACCACCGTAATGTATCTTCTATTTTTACCCGTTGAGAATAAATTGTTCTAAATTGGATTATCCTGATATCCAGTAAGAAATGTAAAAGTTACATTGTTATTTTAAGAATTTACATTGCTGCGTATAGAAAACAAATCTCCACACTGTGCTTTTGAACTGTCATGTTACTCCCACTGTTATGAAATCAGAGATGCTGCTGCCACACCTAAAATCAAATGCAATGTATTGCTGTATTGCTTCACAGACTGTTCACTTGGTACCTTAATCACAAAACTATACATGGGATGCTTTAGGCCTGATCTTTCATAGCTGACTGTTTCTGTACATAAGTAATACACAACTATGTGCACAAGGACTCATAAAATCCTTATTTCTAAAATCAACAGATGAAAAAAATCCCTAAATAATAATGTACAGATGTTTCCTACTTAAGTGAGCTGCTGGCATTTAATGCTGCCAATCACACAAGCAATGAAACTGATGAATTTCAAGGTACTCAGCGTTTACAATGCATTATTTTTTTGTAATCAAATGATCACTTTACAATAACTGAAAAAATGATTAGTCAAGAAATTTACAGCGATACGCTTTCATTACATCTCTAAATTCCTAAGTGTGGTCAACAACACCATATTGTTCCATACCAATTCCTTTTCCTTTTACCTCAAGGAAGTTGATTCTGCTGTCCTTAAGCTGCAGCACTTCACTAAAAGCACATTATCTGCACGTTATCTATGGAGTAATCCTCTTCTCAAATACAAGACAGAACATCAGTTTCTAATCCTACACAGATAGAGTAATTCACATCCACCGTACATTTTACTGTAAAGACGGAGTAATACAATATGTTTGATAAATCATGTATGCGTCTGTGTACAAAGAGAAAGGTTTATCTTCTTTCCTACTAGATGCATCCATATCAAGGCACACGCTCCCCATGCTGGCACTGTAACAATCTTCCCCAGCTCTGTAATAGAGACATCTGAGTTTAAAAAATGAAGCAGCCCACAGGTCAAACAAGTTCCTGATGAGAAGTACTTAACCAGAAATATTATTTCACTGATTCTAAGTTTTCATCCATACATCAAACCCTAAAGCCTATTGATGAAATAAAACTGATCTTCCTTTATTTCAAAGCAAAAGAGAATTAAATGATCTCCACTTTTCCTTGGTTTGGAACTATCAGGTAGTACACAGCAGCCACGTGTCTTCCTTATAATTGTAACAGCCTTAAGGAGAGCTTATCCTGCAGTGACTGAGCACAGGTTTCTTGTCACTTCCTCTAAATCTTCTGCACCTGGTCATAATAATTGGAAGCTGATGGTCCAATATTTTGATCCAAAATGATATGATCCAAGATCTGCTAAAAATCAATACATCCCTTTTCCTTGGGAAATTTTGCATTGGGACCTACCGTAGGGATGTGTGAATACATGAATTTACTGCAATTATGGTGGCACATCTTCTCATGGCCTCTTTTTCACTGTGTCATTATCTGCATTGTGCTTTAAGTTCTCTTGCAGTCCCACATCCAGTCAAGCCAGCCCTTGCAAAGCCTTATGCAAGTCAATGTCTGCCACCTTTGAGAATGAAGGGTTTCTTTCAGCAAGAATCTACATCAAAATATATCACCTCTGTGCACTGCTGAGCCCTGCGTGACATTAGCCAGAATGTGAAATCACCATCAAATTCTAACAAAGCAGAAACATGCAACGGACTCCTAACAACATCTTTGCAGAGCACCAAGAGGTAGATACAAAAGGGAATTTTTTGTTTGTTTGTTTGGTTGGTTTTGTTCACAAAAAAAAAAGTCTAAGTTAGCTTTAAAGCTCCCCCAAGCTACTGTGTCACCATGCAGACTTCAGTTCGGTTCCAGTTTAACCTGCACCATGCTGCTTCATACTGCTTAAACATCCTCTCATATCCAATGCAGTCAGAAAACCCTCTATCTGACATGAAGTTTCCACTCTGGAAGGTAATCCCTGCTAAAAGTGTAGCATATCCATTTACTTGTGTTTCAACTCATACTTGCAGATGAAAGGATACACACTAATTTCAATTGTGTTGCTGTATATACACATTTAGTAAAGCAAGAAAGTACTCTTTAAAAAAAAAAAAATAAAGGAATTTTTAATGTACTTCAAATCTTCAATAAATTAGCATCACAGACTACAGTAAATGAGTGATTAGCAATAAATTAATTAACAAAAAAGGAAGCTACTACTTGCTAGTTATTTCATTGCAACCAAGCTGCCAAACTGCAGAATGGTGAATAAATACAGACATCTGTATTAGTTAAGGAGGCTGCAGCTTGGGCATCTCCTTCAAATCCTTAGTGCCTTTCCACTGGAAATCACAAGTTCAGCACCAGCAAAGCTAAGTGAAGGTAAGAGCCTTTCTTCTGCTAAGTAGCACTAATTTCTGCCTATAGTGACATTCAGATGAGGATTGATCAAGTCACACAGGTAGAAAACAGTTTGCCACCAGTGAAGAGTAGTTCATAACTGCCTCCAGGTATCAAGATACACAAAAGAAACACTGAAAATAGAATAAATCAACAGATATTCTGCAAAATATATCAATATTAACCTCTTAATTTTCTCCAAATCAAGAAACCAGAAGTCAGAAGACCAAGAATCAGAGACAGGATTTTCCTATTTCTTATCTTTCCTATTTTCCTATTAAAGAGCATATGGTTTCTCCTGAAGTCTTTGATTGATACATGATCTCTTCTTTCTTTTCAGGCAGAACAGCTGTCCAGTGAACTAGAAGAAATAGCCCTGAAGTAGCTTTGTGTCTGATATGACTTTGAGAAGGAAAATCATCCCAAAGATAAATGCTTCAAATGAAGTTTCTAAAGGATAGAATAAATGAATATATATGAAAGATTTTTTTTCTCTTTGAGCAAGCAATCACTGTAACCATAATTCGGGATTAGCTTTTGGGGAGGTGAAGTGGGGGAAGTAGGGCAGTTTTTGATACAGAAGAGAAAAGGTACTTACTTCAAAGATGCATTTGGAACGACCCTAACCAAAAGAGGCAACAGCAGCTCTCGACAAGGTCACTGAGGAAGAAACAGTTTTATGAAGATAGTCTGGACTCCATCACCTGGAATAGACTGAAACTTCCTTGATTCTTCTCTGTAAGAAAATGCCCTAAGAAAGCTAAAACACATGCTCTGCAGGTTGATAAAGACTTGAAATCTTTGACTCAATAACTAAGCAGAAATGGCTTTGCTGAATTTGCCATGTAGATGATTTTCCTGAATTTGGACTCCTGTATACCCAGTGCAGAACAGGACTGGTCTCAGCTGAGAAATGCCTAGCAGAGAGCACAATGGCCTTCTGACTGTCCTACCTTTGTAGGCCCTGAATCCTTAACCTAGAGCTCTTTGCTCACCCTACCCCAAACTTCATCTTTCAACACAATTAACCTTCCCCCAAAACCATTCTTCTCACTTTCATTTGCCTTCCAACCAAATACCCCTTCTCCTCCCTTCCTACACCAAAATCTTCCTAAACTTCCCTGTATGTTTATTTCTGAAGCTAATTAAAAATAAATTAGATCCTTAGCATTAAGAAAAAATCGTAAACATTCTCATATATCTTTGTACAGTCATAAATAATACCTCTTCCTCCCTGTGAATAACTCATATGGTTTTCTTGTCCCTGTTCTCAATTCCCCCCTCTCCCCCCCACTCAAGTCATCCCTTCTTTCTCCCCCTCCCACATAAACTGCCAATAACCCCTTGCAGCAGTGGTGTAACCACTGGCATCAGACTGTTCTCCTGCTGCCTCACCTGTCTCTGCTGGCATCTCAGGGTACCAGTCCTTGCCCTCACACAGGTTTTATATGCACAGGCTGAAGTTCTCAGAAACCCTTCTCAATGGGATTCCAACAACAGAAGAACAGGAGATAAGATCATGAAAGCAGCCCCAATATGGTGCCCCATCAGGAAGCCAACTAAATCTGATAGACGTGGTCCTCTCAGTCAACAAGTAGAAAAGGGCTGAGCATTTAGAGAGGGAAAAAGCAGCTCAGAAAACACCATGATATGGTCTGTAATTGGCCAGCACCACACAGCAGACAAAAATCTTTTGCCTAGGTCTTTAATTCTGGGGTAATCAAAACACTACTTTTTTCCACACATATATATGCTGTATATATGCTCACATTCTTAATTTTTCCCCCTCTTGCCCCCTACTTTTAGTTTGCAGTGACTAAGAGCACAATTATTTTACAGAGATATTCTGTAACAAGCTTACAGGATGCCTTTAGTAATAAGATAATTATTTGAAACTCCATAAAGAGTTATAATTTTTAATTTAAAAAAGAAATCAAATAAAAACAGCTTTCATCTTTCCTGCCATGTGAAGAAAACATTCTCTGCCTACATCTCAAATTATCATTCTCTCCTTTGTGCAAAATGAATTGACC